AAACATTGATTCATGCCTTTTTGACCTGGTCTTAGCTTAAGAATAGGAAAACTTGGCTAGCAAGGAATTGGGGTGAATTTAAGAAATTGATAGCCCCAATTAAAGGGTCAAATCTAGAGATAGTAAGACCCGACTTGAGCTTATATCACTGGATTTGTGCAAATACCCATTTGGGCTTGAGAAAGCCAAATCGGGCAAAATCACTCAAACTACCTAGAGGTATAGAGTGAGTAATTGCGTGTGTTTGCTATACAACGAACCCGATAAATCAAACTTGCCCTATAGTTTACAACCCGTTGGGTAGCCACCTAGGTGGAAGTCACGACCCTAGATTCCTTTATCAATTGAAAAACATCTCAAAATCAAAAATATTATACTTTAGTTTTATCTTTGCAATCAATAGAGTAAAGTAGAAGTAATACACCAATCAACTTTGTGAGAGTACATATTTATGCAAAAACTTGTAATCAACTTAGATATACACCTAATCCCATATTCTAACTCCATATGAATTCGATCTCGACCTTTGTTGGATTATTATTTCATCGACCGCCTCGCTACTTAATTGTGGTGTGGATTTGGCCGAGATCTTTCGGCATCGAAGGCGCGGAGGCGCGGCTATTGCGGGGGCTTACGGTGAGCTGCATTCTACGTAGGAATCTGCAGCCTGCACAGTCTCCATCAGAGTTATCTATAGTCTCCAATCTAATTTTTATTCCAGATAGATGTTGTATTTCACTATATTTCCTAGTTAATGCTCATGCACTTATGATATCGGGTTCTAGGGATTTCTTTTAAATTTTTGGTATGGTGGCTCGCATAATTACTATTATATCACCCTGTAGATTTTACTTCATATCATTTGATTAAATGGAAGTTATGATTTTTAAAGTAACAAAATGAGTAAATAAATTGATAAATCAACGTTGGCTTGTCTGACGGCAGCTTTAGGCGCAATCACGACCTATAGTGGATTTTAGATCATGACAGTTTCATACTTAGTGGGTAGCAAGGTAAAAAAGAAAAGGCCAAACCAGTGACAAACTGGAGGTTACTTCAATAGGTTGATTGGTAGAAGACAACTTTTAGGCTTACCTTATTGAGAGAGAGAGAGAGAGAGAGAGAGAGAGAGAGAGAGAGAGAGAGAGAGAGAGAGAGAGAGAGAGAGAGAGAGAGAGATGGTGAGAGAAATTGATGAAGAAAGAAAGAAAAATTGATGAGAGAGGTGGTAGTGAGGAAAGAGGAGAGGAGAGAAAAAAGTAAAAGGATGTAACTAAATCCCCTAATTTAAGACACTAATAATGGATTGCATATAATTTGTAAGTAATCCTTGTTTAGGGCAAGTAATAGACAAAACTAAGATAATTTTGATAAATAAGTTTCAAATATTGTATAGGAAGGAAAAAATCTCATGCCAAAACCCCTTTGGAAAGAATCCAAAGCCCAATTAAAAAGAAGATAAACTAACTATATTTTGGGCTGTGATGGGTCGGTTTTCTGTTGAACCCCGAATGCAGGGATCCGACACAACTTTGAAATTCAAGAACATTAGACCTTTTACGTCTTTCCCAAACTATTAGAAGTTTACAAAGCAATCAAGTCACTCACCTACATCTTTGACTTGCCATTTGTCACACACCACGCTTCTAATTTTGTAGTACTTCTAACAGCCCAAAAAGTTTCAACCTCGCAGCCCCTACAACCTAAAGATAAAGAAAGCAAACATAGGATAATGTTTTTTTTACATTAATATATAACAAAAAAGATAATATAGATATATATATACAATTTGTTAGGCGAAGTACTTTTCAAACTTTTAATAACTCTTCCATTTCTGCATCTCTTTTCCTTTTTCTTCTTTTGTCTTTGTCTATCTTAACTTCTGGTTTGCTTTCTTTAATTTCTTTCCAATTCCTTGCAACTGGTATTCCCTACTTCAAAAAAGAAAGTAAATATCCAATATGTTAGAAAGCAAACGATATGATAGTACCAAAATAGAAAGATATATACTTTGCATGGAAACACACATTTACAAAGTTTTTCTTCTTTTTCCTTTGCTTTTGGATTGCAAAGATTGATATTCCATACAAGCAAGTCCAATCATGTCCAAAATTATTGTCGTGCATGCCCATTCTTCACCTTTATCATATTTTATATATAGCTCCTTTTTTTTTTTTTTGGTAGAATCAATTTGATATATTGATATTACATCTTAGCCAGTAGGCCACTTTATTGCAATTTTCGTTACATATATGTTTTCTGTTGATTCTAACTCCTAAGCTGCTATGCACGAGTAGATCAAACAACGGATAGATTCTTGACAGGTTTTAGTTTGTTGACTGTTGTAATCATTTAGGTAATCTGATTGATAGTGGGAAAATTCATATTCACTCTATTAGTGTGTGTGTATATATATATATATATGTATATACTATGCATGTGATCAACAGAGAATCTATCCATTTTCTTTAACATCCGACACCAACCATTTGTAGTTAAGACTCATAGAATCATGTACTCGAGAAAACATCATCCAAGACATAAATATTCCATAGTTCTATCACCTAAAACTGTCTATGCTGGCTATTTCTTAATTAAATATGGGGCATTGGGTGGGTTGTTTGGTTGGGGGAGGGGGAGAGGGGTTAAAGAATATCAGTGTACGTAATTTACATGTCACATGGGATCATGATGAAATTCTTTAACTTTGATTTGAACAATTGTGTCTAAATATTTGTAAATTATGTAAGTTCATTGGGTATTAATAGCCAGTAGATATAAGAAGATAAATACGTAAATTCACCACTGATCACCTTCTAAATATTACTAAATAAATTAAATTTTTAATTAGGTTTAGCAAAACCCTATCAGTCTTATTAGAAAATACAACACTTGTTCCTCATCCGTTATGTAAGGGTTTCTAAAGGGATTTAAATAGTCATGGGTTATTCCTCTCATTGTTTTAAAGTTTTGGGTTGCATTATCCTATTCTTTTATATGGTATTAGATTCAAATTTTGGTGAGACCGTTTGCGCAATCGCTTTCTCTCGTCATCTTCTACTATTTCGGGGTTCTCTATCTCAACTCAGTCCATGAAACTGCTCTAGGCTTATCCTTCTCTCCATTTTGCCCATCAAGCACTAATATTGTTTTTCGCTATTCTGATATTAAAATTCGAAAGAGATTAAATTGGAGCAGTTTTCTTTAGTTTTATTTTTTTGTTTTGGACTCCGTATGAATTTGTAATATTTTAGATGAAATCTTCTTGTTATTAGATTTTCTATAGGTAAATTATAGGAATAAATTATTATTTCTTTCCTCTTATACAGAAAAACATTTTTTCCATGTCACACCGTAAGACTCATTTCTTATCTTTCTTTGATTCCATATCAAAGATTAATTTCATCATTAATTTGTATTTCGATTATATATCTATATTATATTATGTTGATTGTAGATTTCAATGTTTATTTATCATATTGTGGTTTCATATACCAAATATTGACTCACTCATTAGCCGTACGCTGACTTCTATTAAGCCTAAAATCATGTTCTGAATTGGATTCTCATACTGTTTATATAAATCCTTACTTCGGCTACAAGGAAAAATTGAAAGAAAGAGGAAAAGGAGGAGAAGTAAAATTGAGTTTTGCGTTTTAAGTGCCTTTGCCATTTTGGAAAGGCACTTTAGAATAAGGTTACCCCACAAATAAAGAAAGCAACACGAATGGCTCATAATGATTCGTCTCTTCGCTCCACCAAAATAAGTAACTAAGCTAGTACTTCTAGTCCAAACAGAATATGAAACCAAGAATATTTTAAAAGAGGAAATGAACGACTTAGAAGGGAGAATCACCTGTAAATTGCTCAAATTCTATACCTATATTTGCCCCTAACTGGAGCAATAACATCCATAGATCCCCTCATGTATAGCCCAGCAGCGAAGTCACAAATTACGATAAGAATATTTAAGATTATATATATATATATATATATATATATATATATATATATATATATATATATATATATATATATATATATATATATATATATNTATATATATATATAAAAGGTAATATTTAATTTATATATTCGACAAAGCTGGGTATTCAATTAACTATTTTTTAGCGACCAAATTGAAGTCTATATTGTTTACCATGCTTTTAGTGGCAGAGAATTTAGGGATGGCAAACGGTGCGGTTGCGGGGCACACCCGCGCACAACCGCGAAGACTTCAACCCGCCCCGCCTGCCCCGCAAAACAAAATTTATTGTTTTTAACCGCCCCGCCCCCGCCCTGCATATTTTTTTTTAATTTTTTTAATTTGGTATCTTTTAATAATATTTTGTAATTTCTTAAATCCATATTAGTACTTTGGTAAAATACTAATATTCCATAAATGTAGTAGCATCAGTTTTACAATACATGCTTTAGTAGTCAGTACAATGATTACAATATACTATATTTCTTTGATTAATGTGAATTTCTTGGACTTAAGTAGTTGCATAGTTCTCTTCTATTTTTTCAATAATTTTAAGTGCTAGTCCAATTTCAAACTGCAAATATTGTTGCAGATTCATAAATTTTTGCATATACTTGGACTTAATTATACTCAACGTAACGGTTGGTCTGTGGACATAATTATTATTGGAAGGAAATTATATATATAATCCCTTCTATTCAGTTCTTCACTTCTCAGCAAAACTAGCATTTCCCTTTAAACTTGGAAAACTTTTGCATATACTTGGAAATGTTCACTAAAATTCTGTCTCTGCCAAACTGCTAAAGATGCTTTCAAATAAATAACAAACATAGCAAGAAAAGCTAGCAAGTATTTTACGGTTTAAGATACGAGAAAAAGGAACCATTGCTTTGCAAAAATTAATCCCAAAATACTAAATGAGAACTCTGATTAGTCTGTTACACCAAAGCAAAAACTGAAACGTTGGGATCTTCTTCTTCATCAGAAATAATGCATCTCCGACTTCCTTCAGTTATCAAGCAACTAAAACATCTGGATCTTCTTCTTCATCTAGCATCTTCGGACATGAAACTCTATCAATTCTTGAACACGAACCTACAAAAAAGTATAATAGTATAAGAAAGTGAATACTATTATTAACGTAGTAAGTCATAAAAAAGTTACTTACCATTTATCTCGTTCCATAACCAAGTGCGAGCACACATCAAAGCCTCCAAAGTAGTAGGATGAAGTCTACTACGATGCGGGCTAATCAATCTCCCACTAGTGCTAAAGGCCGATTCTGAAGCAACGGTAGAGACATGAATGGCTAAGAGGTCACGAGCTATCTTTTGCAAAGTAGGAAATTTTAATCCGTTTGTCTATCACCAGCTTAAACTGTCAAATGATGGCGTTCGAGGTAGCACACCTTCTTCTAATATGACTCCAACTCCGATCTTGGGTCCACATTCGTGCTACTCGAAGCGACAAACCTATCGAAACTAGACAGTCGATCACCCTCAACAACACCAGCAACTTCATGATTAGAACTAGATGCTTGAAATGACTCATGTGAAGCAACCACTCTGCTCGTATACTCTTGAAAGAGATCAAAACAATGGTTTCGAACTTCTTGAATTTTATGTAAAGTTTCTTCACCATAAATTTGTGCAAGATAGAACTCAACCCACTTCATCTTGAATCTCGGATCAAAGATAGTAGCTACCCCCATCAAAATATGCATATCATCCCAATATTTTTTAAATTTCAACAACATTGATGATGTCATAGAGCTAATCAAAGGATTTAAACTTTTCACCCAAGCTTCCAGTTCTAGCTTAATATCACAAACTTTTGAAAAGTATTGAGTTGAAGTTGGATATTGACTCCCTGAGAATTGTTCAGTGATACAGTGAAACACCTTCAACTTTTCACAAACTTCATGTGCTGCACTCCATTGCCCTTCGATTGGAAAACAACGATAATTGGTGTCATTTAAACTCAACTTCGTAAACACCTCTTTGTAATCTATAAGATATGTTGAGTTCCAACGAGTAGGGTAATCATACTCCAACTTTTTAGTACAGGAAATATGTAGCAACCGTGCAGCTTCTTCGAACCTTTCAATTCTGCCTGAAGATGCTATCCAATATAAGACACCGTTACGCACATTACTAATACCATCTTCTATCACCTTTAGTCCTTCTTGCACAATCAAATTTAAGATGTGTGCGGCACAACACACATGCAACACTCGACCCATCAACAATAAATCCCTCTTACAAAGTTTCTCATCTAACAAGGTTTTCATCATAGCATTGTTTGTACTAGAATTTTCAACTGTAATTGTTGATATTCTTCTTTCAAGATTCCACTCTAACAGGCAATTAAGCAACACACTACACAAAGTATCCTTATCATGTGGAGCAGGAACATCAATAAATCTAAGAATATGGCTTTGAAGCCTCCATGAATCATCAATAAAATGTGTCGTAATAGCCATGAACCCTTTTTTTTGTATTGTTTGAAGTCCACATATCAGTTGTTATTGCAATTTTACTTGTGAGTTTTTCCAACAACTTAGAATTTTTTTGATTTCAAATTGTCAAAAATCTTTAAAATATCATTCTTGATTGTGTTCCTAGACACTATTTTAAACAATGGTTGGAGACTAGCAACAAACATCATAAATCCAACATGATCGACAATCGACGAAGGTTATTCATGCAAAATGATTGCATGAGCAAGTTCCCTACGTGAAATATCTTGATCAAAATAATGTTGTTGGCTACCATCATCACCCCCCAAACCACCCCCGTCTTCTAAGTTACTTGGCTTCTACGAAATCTACGAATATGATCCCACAAAGATGATGTCCCACATTTTCTTGTTGATTTGATACGAGTATTACAATACTTAAAAACACCAAAGCGAGCACCATCAACCTTCACCACTTTGTAATGTTTCCATGCATCAGAATTAAGTTTTCTTTTACTTGTTTCATCAACAACTTCCATATTAACTTCATCAGACTGCATAAGCCCTTGACTCTCAATCTCAATAGGAATTGTACTTGAAGATGAACACATTGGATTTTGTTCGCCTTGAGACTCCATACTTTTCTACAAAAATAAAGATAAAATCAAGAGATGAAGTTGGTATTGGCTAACTAAGTATTTGAGTTGAGACTCCATACTTTTCATCTATCATACTGAACTTTATCACAGTTAACTAAGTATTTGCGTTGAGACTCCATACTTGTTTATTGAATGATTAAGACTCAATCTTTTAAATCTTTGAGTTCGAAACTAGACTACTAATATACAAGAGTATTCAGTATAACATCAAGCAAATCGAGCTACTAGCCTACTATCAAACTAACACCATAGAGATTTAACTTTCAAATTTAAGAAAATTAGACTTAGTCTACCCCTGAAGGTCCAGATTCAAACTTATTAAAAGAACATTAATAGATTAATGCCTAAGAAAACTTGTCTGACACAATTACCAATATTTGAATATAGTAAAATATCGCAGTCATGTCACTCAAAGTTTGAATATAGTAAAATAAGAGCAGATAGATTGTAGAAGGAATTCAAAGTTTAACAGAAATGAGGCTCAGATTTGTCTAAAAACCATCAGAAAATGGGCAAGTTTGCCATGGCTACAAAAGGCAGATGGCTTACTGTAAGAGAGTCGGTGAGGGCTGACGGGAGGCACTCCGGTGACGGGCTGAGTGCGTTGTGCGTGAGTCGTGACTGTCATTGGATTTTAGTTCAAGATTTAGGATCTGGTAGCGTTTTAGACTTTTAGTTCAAGATTTAGGTTTTAAAAAACCCACGCCCCGCCCCGCCCCGCGTTAATTTGTTTTAAAAAAATTAGGACCCGCCCTGCCCCGCAAACATTGTAACCCGCCCCGCCCCGCGAATGCTAAAAACCGCCCCGCCCCGCCCCGCACCGCCCTATTTGCCATCCCTAGCAGAGATGACCGAATTCTTTCGGTCTTAATTGTTTAATAGCAACATGAATTAGGATTATGCTAACATGGAGTATTCTACATTGGCAGAAGTGAAAATGCAAAGAACTATATTGATATTTTTTGTTGTATTGGGTAAAATATGTTCATATTTAATGATCGTATGAGGAAGCGACACGTGGAACCGAAGACACAAGACAGTCTGGTCCGAAGGCAACGATCTCGAAGAGAATGGTATTCATAAAGGTGACTTAAATACCTGCCACCCGGTAGTATTTAATGGAGAATATTCTATAGCATTCTGTGCACGGTCCATTACAGAGAATATGACATTCATTGCCCACCGTTATACATTCTTCAATGGCCCTCATAATTGTCATTTAAGAGGGGCTTGATTATCGGACCTTGTTCCCTAGGTACAACTATAAATAGTGAGCTCTACAGTCATTGTAAAGGACACGAATTTTCTGACAAACTAATACTACACTCTGTTCAAAAGCTCAACAATATTTTATCTTCTTGCTTATTAATACTGTTGTTACTGCCTCAAGAAGCTCTACTCCCGGAATCAAGTTTGCTACTATCTCATCTCGATTTCAATGCTAAGTCTTATATTTTTGTCTTATTTATTTATCATTTTGGGATCAAATCGATTCACCTGTCTATAAACCACGTATAAATTCAATTGTAACATTTCACAGGTAAACAGTTTGGCGTCCACCGTGGGGCTTAGACAGTTGTGTAATTGAGTTGATCCTTGCATCTATTACTAACTCATTTGATTATTTGTTCTTAGCAAAAACCATAGAAAATGGCAGATAACGGTGTCAATAACGCACGCAACATTGAGGCCCAAGAAAATTAGCCTCAACAAAAAGATTCACTCAGTGATACCCGCAACGAGGGGGACGAGGCCACGCCGGTCCACGCCGGGCAATATCCGCGACATGTTCGTGAGGCGACTCTTGATGATGCTGAAGACGAGCATGTCGTTGAAACAGTAAGGATCTTGAGAGAGCAACAAAAGACCATTATAAGCCATCTCACTTGACAGGATCAGGTCATAACAGAGTTGAAGCAGGTGTTATCAGGTGCTTCCAACAACGCGAATGGACGAGGTCTAGTTCCTCCTGGTGCTCCCGCAAATCAAATAACGCAGACGGTCGACAACAATACCTCGAGGGGCGAGGTAGGCTTCGATGGGGCCCCGGGGAACGGTAGCAGATCCGGTAACAACAGAGAGTAATCCCTTTAAAATTGAACTCATGCGGTTTATGAGAGAAATAAACGCCCAAGTGGATCAAATTACGGGTGCACCACCAGTGTTGAAAGGACCAGACTCAAATAAATATACCCAGTTACCATTCAAACAAAGCGCAAACACCAAAGTTGATCCCGAAGCGGTTCAAAATGCCAGACATGCCGAAGTATGATGGGACTCTGGATCCTCATGAGCACATAACCACCTATACAACGATGGTGAAGAGGAACGATCTAGCTCCTTACGAGATTGAGTCAATCTTATTAAAGAAATTCGGGGAGACCCTTGCGAAGGGATCCCTAACATGGTATTCGCTTTTTCTCGAGCACTCCAACGACTCCTTTGAGATGCTTGTAGACTCTTTCATCAAGGCCCATGCCGGGGTCAGGAAGGTACATCCCCGAATGGCCAACATATTCAGGATTGCACGAGAAGAGTCCGAATTGCTATGGGAGTTCGTGAACAGACTCTAGAAGGAAAGGATGTTGCTACCACCTGTATTGGGGGCAGCTGAAGCATTCACTAAAGGTCTGAATCTCAGAAGTTCCGATGCTTCCCGGAAATTGAAAGAAAGTTTGCTCGAGTTCCAAGCAATAACATGGGACAAAATCGAGTGTTTAGCCATTTTTATCAAAACTTATGCCTGGGAGCTCGGATTTGAGCGTGATTTGGAGGGATTTTCAGAGATATCGATTGGGTAACGATTCTGGACTCATTTTTGCTTGTAACCCATTAATCTAAACATGAATTCATCCTTTAATTTCGGAATCCACAGGGAGCTAAGATGGGAGTTAGGGGTATATATTTCTAATGAGCAATTGGATTATCTAGATTGCACTTCACAACAACAATTTATTTTCTAATTCTAATGTTACTCTAATGATTGCCAAATAAAGAACGAAGACTAGAGATATTGTTTTTAGGGTTTTTCCAAAGGGATAATACATAATTACCCCATTGAGGTTGTCTCATATTACAAGTTGCACCCTCGTATTTTGCGCGGGTCTTATGGCCCCCTTGGCTTTGTTTGAAATATAATAAATGCCACCTTTCGTGACCAACATCAATTTCAACTAAAATGGTATATGACACGCACCAATTATATTTTGATGCGTGTTTTTTACACCTTATAATTATTTTTTTATTATTTATTTTATCTTCCTTTTATTTCTTTTTCTTATTTCTTTTCTTCATCTCCCAACCCTATCCCCCCCGTCTCCTTTTTCCTCCCAGCAACTCCCTAGCTCCCTTCCCCAAATAGATTAATTCTTCTATTAGGTTTTCTTAATTTCAAATTTATCTACTCAACGCTTCTTGTTTTTTCCGTTCCATCCCACCTCTACGCCCTTTCTTCATCTTCCTTTTTAAATTAATATGTCCTCCATTATTCAAAGTGTCGCCGGAATCATCATTTTTTCCGGTGAGAAATATTGTTTGAAAAGAAAAATAAGAAAAAGAAAGCAGAAAAAGAAAAAGAAAAGAAGAGAAAAAATGTATTAGAGATGATTTTTAAGATGGAATGGAAGGATCTTTTAACAAAAAAGTGAAGGTAGAAAACTCCGGCTAGATAGTCATCGGAAAATATGGAAACTTTCATTGTTATTCCAAAACTAAAGTCTCTTTCTCACTTTTATATGTCCTTGCTTGACATTTTTCTTTCATTGAATTATTGCTAATTTGTTGTTCTTCGGTATTGAATTTTCTTTTTCAGTTAACATGGCTTCTTAGTTTAGGCTTTAAATGATGGGTACACTTTTGTTAATAAAGAAGAAAGGTAAAGTGAAGAAATAGAAGAAAAAGAAAAAGGACATTAATTAAAAAAGGTAAAAATGGTAAAATAAACAAAGTTGGGGCATTTTTTTTCAATTCCACGCGCTAAGATTGCGTGAAAAACAATTCAAATGCCATGTGGGCTCAAAGGGTGGTACTTATAGCACTTTGAACAAAGACAAGGGGGATATAGGACCCCCGCAAAGTTTAAGGGTGCAACTGGTAATATGAGACAACCCCAATGGGATAATTATGTATTATCCCTTTTCCCAAATGGATAAAAAGCCTAGGGCCGTGACCTAGGTGTTTGCCTAGTGGGATAAAGACTTTAATGCTTGTTTCGTTGATTGGGGTATATTATAGCTATCAACTTTAAATTACCCACTCAATACCTCTCAGTCAGAGAGTGGTTTTGCCCAATTTGGCTTTCTCAAGACCAAATGTGTATAACCCAAAACAGTTAATAAGAGCTCAAGTTGGGTTATTACTATCTCAT